CTTTTAGGATTCATTTGGATGTATGACTGTAAAAAAAATTCTATAGACAGTTATCCAAATACCAGTTACTGAATAATTAATCTATTTAACCACTGATTAAAACCCATTTTATCATATTTATTGTCTTTCATATCAAATTTGTCTTTTTCTAGACATCACATATTATTCTTTTGATGACCTATTAATTCTTTCTTTTTCTATTTAATTTGTTTCTTTAATCTCACCCGAGGACATTTCTTCATTGCTTTTAAAGAGGAAGGAGGGAAAAAGAGAAACATCAGTGAGTTAGAGAAACATCCATCAGTTGCCTCTCATATATGCCCCATGAGGGTTCAGTTCAACAGACTGAAACCTCAACCTAGGTATGTGCCCTGGCAGGGAATCAAACCCATGACCTTTTGTTTTATGGGACGATGCTTTGATCAAGTGAGCCCCCCAGGGTAATTCTCTTTATTATACCATATTACTTAAACTTCTGTTAAATAATACTTTTTTAAGAAAATTTTTTCAAGATTTTATTTATTTACTTTTAAAGAGAAGGGAAGGGAGGGAGAAAGAGAAACAGCAATGTGCAAGAGATACATTGATTTGTTGCCTCTTGCATATTCCCAGCTGGGGACCTGGCCTGCAACCCAGGCATGTGCCCTGACTGGGAATTGAACAGCGACCCTTTGGTTCATAGGCCAGTACTCAGTCCACTGAGCCACACCAGCCAGGGCAATTTTTCTCAAAATTTTCTTAGACATTGATACATAGTGTTTATTCATCTATGTGAAAATCAGAATTATTTTGCAAAGTTTTCAACAAATCTGCATTAGAATTTTGATTGGGATTAAGCTGGAGGAAGGATATATTTCAATATTGAGTCTTCCCACTTATTCAAGGACATTGTATATTTCCACATTGCTTCTTAAGTTTCATAAACTTTAAAGGCCTTCTTAATAACTGTAACTGATTAACATTCTGAAATAGTCATTCCCTTCTAGTTTATAGCAAATTGGAAACTGAATTAATATGTAAATACCTTTATTGGTACTAGGTAGTTGTTATGAACTGAATGTTTGGGTTCTCTTCAAAATGCATGTTGAAGCCTTAACTCCACTCCCCACTCCCCAATAGGATGGTATTTCATTCAGAGTTAGGGCCTTTGGGAGCAAATTAGGGTTAGATAAAACCAAGAGGGTAAAGACCCTACGATGGGATTAGAGCTCTTATAAGAAGACGCACTGGGAGAGCCTGGTCTCTCTGTCTTTCTCTCTTTCTGAGTCTGTGTGTTTGTGTGTGTGTGCTGGCACAAAGAGGTCATGTGACTGTCTACAAACCGAGGGGAGAAAGGGGAGAGCCCTCTCCATAAACTGACCATGCTGGCACCCTGATCTCAGCCAGCCAGTCTCCAGAACTATTAGAAAATAAAATTCTGTTGTTTAAGCCACCCAGTCTATGGTATTTTGTATTTTGTTATGGCAGCCCAAGCAGACTACTAGAGTAGTATTTATATTACTTCATCTTCCCCAGGACTCGGCTACCATTGGCATCACAGCCCAAGGAAATAGTACAATGGAATGAACTAATGTGGTTACATAAAGGGCTCCTTTGTGATGACTACTTATTTTATTGAATTGCTTTGCACCAGGATAAATTCAGGAAAAGTGAAGACTTTTAAGCTGCCTATTCCCTCATTCAAAATGAAAATAAAATTTTAGTTCTACAGATAAATTGCATATTTCTAGAAATGTTGACTTTCCTACCTCATTGCACAGAAGAATGCCAAGAAAACTGGTCATTGAAGTTTAGTGACCACAGTGTTAATACTTGGGCATATCTAGAAGTAGTAACATAAGCACCTTTCTAGTCTTTCCTTATAGTTGTGAAACTTTTTAGAATTTGCTAAATGTATTCATATGCAAAATTTTCTTTCCCAAAAGAAATTCAAATGAAGTGTGAGTGTCATTTTATGGATGGAACAAACAGTTCAGAGAAACAAAATGACTTTTGCAAGGTAGCATAAAACTAGAGCTAAATTTAATTTATTCCATTGAATGAAGTTTTTTTCTGAGAACTTATTGTGTGTACACTCTGGCCCTCAGGCTAGGCATTTATGTCCTGTGGAGGCAGGATCTCTCAGCAACTGGTGGAGCTTCTTGGCTGCCTTGTGCTACCATGTCCTTAGCTCAGGTAGCTCTCAGTGCCCAGAAAGATCCAGCCTGCCACTGGACTCTGAACCTGTAGGCAGACATGTAGTGATGCCGCTCCTAAGGGGCAAACCTCTCTCTGCCAGTTTCTACCAAGCTCCTGCTGGACCAGTAATTGAAAAGGGATTCTCTTGACATCTGAGGTGTTTGCTGGGGAAGCTCTCCTTCAATTCTTCCCTCCCACTCCCAATTATTCTGCTTTATATACAGTAAAAGGGATGTTTGACATTTGATCTTAGGTCCAAATGAGAGGACAGGCAGGCAACATGAAACCCACAGGCCTTGATTTACTCAGTGTCCTACTTTATCCTGAAGCAAACCTTTTACTAGGAGTTCAGTAGCCATTAGTAGTAAAACAATGTCCCAAATTCAACAGAAGATTTGTTGTTTCATGAAGTAGAAAGAGGGAAAAACATTGTTAAAACAACGGGAATTTATAAGGCAAAAAATAGTGAAAATAATACCAGATTTAACTAAAAAAGGGGCGAATTGTAAGTCAAGTTGTTTTTTGAAAACACATGTGACATTTAGTCCCAACTTGTATTGGCTGTAAAGAGAAGATAAATCAGGAGTAAGGTATGCAGTGCGATTTTCTATGTTCGGGAAAAGTTAATTTTTTAAATTTTTTGTTCGGAAAATTATTTAAATCAACCTATCTTGTAAATTTAACAGAAGGGTTCACAACACTAACAACTTAAAGTTTATCTTTGAATTGAAATCTGCAGTCATCTTTTTCTTGCTCTTTATATAGTAATCTTGTCTTACTAGATAATCTTTAGATTCATTATGCCCTAGAAGTTAAAAAAAAAAAAAAATCATATCCTATAGGGGAAAAAGGAATAGGTACTTTCAGCACTTTGGAAATACTAAAGTTGTTTTAAATTTTTTCAATAGAATTCCACTGGAACCTGTGTGTTAGAGAGGTACAACATTACCAAATCAAAAGACATCCCAGTATTTTGTTAGTAATAGTGTTTCCAGGAGCGATCTTGTGAACATTGCTCCCAGAATAGATTCAGCATGTTCTCTGAAATACTTCACCCTTGGGCTCCTAAACTCCAAGGGAAAATACCAGAATTTTCTTTTAAAGAATATAGAAAAGAAGCATGAATGTATATACATAGAATAACATAGGACTAGATGACAAGGAACTACTGAATTTTAGTTTGGACTCTGAGATTTTAACCAAATAATTGGATATTTTCAGATTTTAATTTCCTAATCTGTAAAAATGAAGATAATTCTTAAGTCATATATCTGGAATGATTAAAATAGAAATATTTCATATCAAAATGTTATGAATTGGAAAGAGAAGGGAAACAATCATTGAGGACTCAACATATGCCGGTAGCATTGTTACAGGTGGGGCTCTGAAGAGCTTCCTTAGGTCCACGATTCTACCACACTGAAAGTTTAAATCAAATCATTGATAAGAATTCTTTTAATTAAAGTTAAATAACCCATATTTCACTCTAAAAGAAACTCTCTTAATTTTATTACACTTTTAAAGCTTGCTATTATAACATCTCAAAAGCAGAGTAAATCAACAGTGGAAAATAAAAATACTTTCTATAAATATTCCTTCCAAATATGTCTTTTATTAGCACACTAATAATAATTCATAATAAAAATAATCGGAATAACATTTTACATTTTTTCAATATATTTTTCAAATGGAACCCTAAATTAATTATAGTAAGTTAAATAAGCATATAATTTATAATTTAAAACTAGAAAAGCCTGACACATTGTTATATTTCTACTGTTTAAAGACTTTTATAGATGAAGAGTAAATAATTTTATACAATATTTTTAAACATTCTGTAGACAAATCTTCCTCAAACAGAAATTTAATCCAAAATATTACTATGGGGGTAGAGAGAGGGATTAAATACATTAGAATATGCTGAAAGGACACTCAGTTTTTCCTAAAAATAAAAGTCAGTATAATCAAGAAAATAATTAAATATTACAGATTATAAGCGTCAGCTGTTAAAATTAGATAACTAACAACCACAGAAGGTATTTTCTTTTCTAGTAACAGCACATGTTTTTTTCATATTTACTTTTAAGAGTAGTCTTACTAAAATATAAATATCTTAAGAGTTTAATAAATGTTTCAATAACGTGCTTTACTATTAGACATACATATAAACATTTAGGAAGAATCCATATCATTTTCTGGTTATAGATTTAAAAAATCTGGCAAGGTCATAGTCTTTTGTTTGACCTTCTATAGAAATAACTTGAACATAGTTATGACAAATTTGTAATCATTTTGGTGTATAATTAGCTACTTTTGAGAAAAGTTAAGTAATTTAAAATTAATACTTGGTACTTCAGAGTCTAGTTAGAATATATAGGCATATATGTATTAAAAACATTTTTAACTAAGAAATAATAGATATTTTGTTTCTTAAATGAGGTAGATAAATTAAAACATTCTGGAACATGATCTGAACATTTGAGAAAAAGGAAATAGCAATCGCCAATTCAACCTGTATAAATCAGACAGCTGGAGAATTTTCTATTTTTAATATGTATACCATATTTTTCAAGTACAAGGCCTCTGGCATACATTTTTACTTTCCAAAAGGTTGCTAAATTGAAATTCAAGTTTTTCATTTACTTAATCATTATATAATCTACCTAGAGAATTTTTCTATTCAGATGAAAAAAAATTGCAAGTAAACCAAGACTACTAATTTTTCATTTTTTATGTTTAAGTGGTATTTTCCCTTTACATACCTCATATAGTAAAATACATCAGGAAAAGCTATTGCTCTTCAGATGTTATATAATAAATAATTACTTAGATGACAAAGAGTTAATAAAAATTTCAAGGTCTGCTAAAGAATTATGAAGCTCATCATTTATATCTTGACTTCTAAGAAAATTTTTGAGAGTATTTAAAGCAGTTATTGCCTCAGTTTTTGATGGTAAAGGAAGTTCAGTTCCCAGAGATCCACCATCATCCTCTTCATCAGAAGTATAAAATCCAGCTTCCTCTGATTTACTTTCTTTGGTCAACGCCGCATCATCGTTTGGTGCTGCTTCACATGTCTCCAGATCATCATCCAGGGCAGCATACTCTTCTATAGATAAACCTTCAGGAAATTCCACGCCTGCTGCTTGGGCATGGGCAACCAAATCAAGACCAGTGTCAGTCTCCGCATTTGTGCTGTCACTTTCTCCCTGTTGAGATTTAAATCCTGCCTCTTCATAGCTCTTGATGATAGTCTCAGGGGTCACAGCCCTCCAACAGAGATGCAATGTATCAATGGCATCTAGTAGGGAAAAAGTAAATTCTTGGCTCCCTTCAACAGAACTTAAAAATTTCTTGATAAGACAATGTCGGTATTTGATTTTAAGGCTTTTAATAACACCTTGTTTCATAGCTATAAATTTGGAAGACAAACACGATGGAAAAAATGCTAACTCAATGGACTTTAGGTTCTTTACCTCTGGATGTGCAGGAAAAGAATCAACAAAAATCACCACTCTTCGTTGCTGGGCTTGAAATTTCTCATCAAGCTTCCGCATCCACTGTTCAAATACATCTGAGGTCATCCATGCCATTCTGTTAGCTTCATAATACACAGGCAATGAGTTTATACCTTTGAAACAATGTGGATTTCGGTTTTTCCCAATGATAAGCAAAGGAAGTTTTTCTGAGCCATCCATGTTTGCCCCAACCACCAGAGTTATTCTGTCTTTGCATAACTTTCCGATTGAGCATGTTTCTCCTTTAAATGCAAATGTATTTGTAGGCAACATTCGATAAAGCAGCCCAGTCTCTTTTATGTTAAAAACATTTTTAGGATGATAATCGTTTAAATAATAAGGAAGTACATTTTGGTGCCAAACAGTTGAAGGGTCTACTGATACACCTGTAGCTTCTACAGGTTGAGCTCTGAATACTAACCCATACCTGGATTTAAAGCGATCCAGCCAACCATTACTGCACTTAAAATCATTATGTCCTAGTTTCTGGGCGAAATCATTAGCTTTTAGACGCAACATTGGACCATTAACTGGTACATTTAGGCACTGAGCAATTCGATACCACCTCATTAATGCCTCTTCCAGATCTGTGTAGAAAGCAGTTCTCAGTCTTTTTCTCTTTGGATCAAATCTCAGAGATTCAAAAGCTTCTAGAACTTTGTCTTTATTCTTCATAATAGAAGACAATGAATTTTTCTTTATTCCATATTCAGCTGCAATCTCTGCTTTTTTCTTGCCACTCTCTACTGCATTTATGATGTCGATCTTTTCTTCAATGGATAGACTTTTCTTTTTTTTCACTGTTACAGGCAGAGTTGAGGCATCTACAGAAGCTTCTGCCATCTCACCCAGTGCTTATATAGAGATTTCTCTTCTTCCTGGTGTCTGTTTCTTTAATTAAATTTCTTTTCCAGTATGACACAAATTGCTGCTCTTTCTCCCACTTCATATATTTTAAGTTGATACTAATAGTCTTATTCCTTAGGAAACTGATGACTAAATATATATTTTTCAATAATTTAAAAGAGAAACTTCCTTCCCAGGACCTTGTGTAGCTCAGTTTATAGTCTATTCACAGTTTCAGAAGTCAAGCTAAAATAGAAATCTCATTATGTCAAACCTGTCCAGTCCTGCTGATATATTTTTGGAACTTCAATCCTTTAAGATGATCCATTTTATTCATTTGTGCATTAAACCTCCTATTAATTCTTCACAAAAGGTCTCAGAGACAAGAGCAAATAGCATTCAGAAATTTTCATGCAAAATGTTACCCATTAATTTCCAAGTCTCTTCAAGGTAAAGAAGAAAACAGTAGAATCCTTCTAGGGCTTGACAGTTTTACCTTCTGTCTCTTGAAAATGTGAAAAAACAAAAACAAAACCCAGCATTTTTAGCAAAGATATGTCAATTGAATATCAAAAAGAATATTTATACTAATTAGTTATGCTTTTAATAATAAAAAGGAAAGGGAGCATTTTTTGAAAATACAATAACCAAAGCTGGAGAAATGCTTACCTTCTGAAGGGCCTCTGTAAAAAGCTCTCTTGCTCTGCTCTATCATTTGAATTTTCACTTGCCTTTGAATGGTTTGTAATATATACTTCTGAAATAAATCAGACAAATTTAATCTGTTTTGAAAATGTGGGCTTACCAAAATTAAAGAACTAAAAATGATGCTGGATATATCTTTGGTGGCTATTTTTTACATGAAGTCACAGACTGCCCCCTCTGACTTCTCTAAAAGAAAAACATAGACAGTAGTCACAAGGTCCAACTTTTAATAGCACATGGGAGACGGTGTCTCCTTTATTGGAACCTGGTAGGAAATGCTCCACAAGGACGTGGCTGGGTAGCTCAGTTGGTTAGAGTGTCTGGATACACCACCGTTGGAGATTTGCTCTCTGGCCAGGGCACATACAAGAAGTAGTCAATGAAGACATCAAGAAGTCACATCAAAAAAACATGGAAATCAATGTGTTTTTTTTTTTATCTTTTCTCTCTCTTTCCCTTTCTCTCAAATCAATAAAAATTTAAAAAAAAGAAAATGCTTCACTAAAAATTAGATCAAAGGACTTTATTACATAGTTTAAAAATCTAAGTCTGCCCTAGCTGGTGTGGCTCAGTGGACTGAGTGCCGGCCTGTGAACCAAGGGGTCACCAGTTCGATTCCCAGTCAGGACACATGCCTGGGTTGTGGGCCAGGTCCCTGATTGGGGGTGTGTGAAAGGGAACCGGTCAATGTATCTCCCACACATTGATGTTTCTCTCCCTCTCTTTCTCTCTCCCTTCCCATCTCTCTAAAAATAAATATATAAACAAAATCTTTTAAAAAATCTAAATCTTATTATATCTAAAAAACCTTTTTTCTTTTTTTAATTTGACACATTAGCCAGATGCACAGAGGCCAGAAATACTTGACAAAATGCATAGGAATAAACAAATTATTAAGAGGATTATGCAGAAAAAGACCTAGACTAAGAATAAAAAGGAGAGTGACCGTGGGTCTCACCTCTTCACTTCCTTATCTGTAAAATAAAGGGCCTATCATAATGTAAAGATGCTGGCTTTGGTGCAAGGCACACCTGAATTGACAAGTGACTCTGTCACTTAGTACTTCTGTGATCCTGGGTAGTTTACATAATCATTTGACCTCAGTTTTCTTATTTGTAAAATAGGGGTTAATTATAGCACCTGCCTCATAGGGTTATTGCGCATTCAATGCGATTCAATGAGAGCATGTAAAGCACTTAGCAGGACAATTAGCACCTTCCAAGGTGTTCAATAAATGTTTGGTGATGATCTCATCATTCTTATCTTCTAATGTCCCTTTTGTTCTGTCAGTCTATAAAGCTCAGATATTTTACAGTGCAGGGGTTGATAAAAGTAGATTTACAGTTTATTCTTTTATTATTATTTATTAATTATTGTACTGTTTATTTGTATTACTTGTCTTTTGCCATACAAACAATTATAAACCTACTTTTGCCCACCCCTGTATATCCTGAGAGCAAAGTTTCTTAAATCAAACAGTTCTGAATCTATAGGCTTTATGCCTCCTACAGGCCAAGATAACAAACTAATTTGATATGTGGGGAATACTGCTGTGTGAAATAGCGTAGGTGCTCCATCCCTCTAGTTTTTTCCCTCTGTCCCCTGGGATTTCAAGATGACACACGTTTTTGTTTTTGTTTTTTTACACAAAATTTTTTGAAAAAACTTTTTGTCAAAATTCTTTTGCCTTTGTTGTCAATCAAAAAAGTAATTTTTATCGTAGGAATTACAACCAGTACATGAATTTGCTGTTGTTATTGTTATTGCAAGAATGATCTTAATAATTATTATGATAACCTAGGCTTTCGTTTCCAAACTGCTTTACTTCCTACATTCCAAACAACTCAGGAGAAAGGTAAAACTGGATTTCAAAACTCATAAGTTACAACGTGCTTGAGTGCAGTCTGGACTCCAGGCTTTCAAATGTCAAGTCAACCATTCTTTTCACTATATTACAGTGTCCCTGAATCACACCGGTGTGGCCTTCTCTGATAACAGTTACACATTCTATGCCCCCAGCACCAAGCCAAGTCAGCGTTTGCAATGCCTATCCAGACCTAACAACAACAAGAGGCAATGTCAGACCTCCACAGAATAGGCCGATATGAATTCTGTGAGCACAAATGACAACTGAGGGGAGGAGGTGACCATTCAACTAAAAAAATTGCTCATATATGGGATACCCTGTACATTTTTGTGCAATTTCTGATAAATCTACAATTATTTCAAAATAAAAAATTTAAAAATGTCTTGCTCTTATTTAGGAAGATATCAACCTTCAGAAATTGAGGTAGCAAGAACCACCTTTTAAGAAAGACAAAACCAGGCAAAACTGCTCTTCAATCTGCCAACTTCACTCTTACTTTTCTTTTGTTCTTTCCTTTCTTTTTATTTTCTTTTGTCCTTCCTTTTTTCTTTCTGCCTATTTCATTTGTTAGAAAGAAACTCTATTATCCCAATTACAAGGATTACAGAAAAAGTAACTTGAATTTGTCCCTTATGCCATCACAAATAAAGCCATATATATATATATATATGATTACTGGTTATCTTGATCAAATTGATAAGTGATATGTTTAGTTAGGGAAGGATTATTTTTTTCTTATATGTAATAGTATGTATTTCCTTCTAAAACAGCAGTCAAAGCTACAACTTTACTTGGTAAGATACAATATATCTTTACTCTGGAAATAACCACATATCTAATGCTAAATTGGAGAAGCTAGACTTTTTCCCTAGAAAAGAATAAGACACCTACTGCCTAATTCATGAAACTGACATTTTCCACTCTCCCAAAATATTACATCTGGGAGTACGGCAGCAGCTAACATTTCTCAGAATTACTCATTCTCTCAAGCTCATTAATCATTCTACCCCTTGAAAATATTACCGCAGAGAAATGCTGTACTACACATTAGGGACTATTTTCTCTTTGTGGACAATAAAGCTAACTAAAGAAAACAATGGTCAATTCTATTGGTAATAATAGAAATGTAAATCTCTTTTCAAAATAGGAGATTCGGTTTTGGTTTTTGCCTGTCAGAATGGTAGTATCTAGTGTTCTCCTAGATGAAATAACATACATTATTAGGAGGAATATAAATTGGAGGGCAAATTAGCTATAGGATACAAAAACCTTAACAATATGCACAACTTTTATTCAGCAAGTCCATACCTAGGATTTATTCTCCCCAAATAATTATAGATATAAAAATAATTGAGCTTACAAATGTATTCATTTTTGATTGCTGCATAACAAAATTACCACACATTCAGTGCTTCAAACAACAGCCATTTATTATCTCACAGTTCTGTAGGTCAGAAGTCCAGGTGGGCTCAACTGGGTCCTCTGCTTAGGGTCTCACAATGCAGAAATCAAGACGTCAGTCATGCAGGACTCTTATCTGGAGGCTCTGGGGTATAACTGGCTTCCCAGCTCATTCAGGTTATTTGCAGACTTCAGCTCGTTGTGGCTGTAGGACTGAGGCCCCTGGTTTTTTGTTGGCTGTCAACAGAGACTGCTCTCAGCTCCTGAAGGCCTATGTCAAGTGCTTGCCTGTGGCCCTCTTCATTTCAGCAACAGAGAAATTCTCATGTCAAATCTTGTTCACACTTTCAATCTCTCTGACTTCCTCTGCTGCCACCAACAGGAGAAAACTCTCTACTCTTAAAAGACCCATGAAATCAGTTCAGGTGCACCCAAAATAGTTCCCTTTTGATGAACTCAAAGTCAACTGATTAGTAACTTTATTTACCGTATGTGCTGTGTATAATGCACACTTTTTTGCCCAAATTTTTGAGGGAAAAATAAGGATGCACATTATACTTGGGTATAATGATTACATACCATGGGTATAATAATCCCATGTATAATGCACACAAAACCATGGGTGCACATTATACATAGCAAAATGTGGTATATCTGCAAAATCCTTTTTGAATGTCATATAACATAATCATAGAAATGATATCCTATCATGTTCACAGCAGAGGGGGTTATATGAGGTGAGGATCATTGGAAATCATCTTAGAATTCTACCATACTATAATATTTCTCACACTTTTATTATTACAGACAAGACTGGAAATAACCTAAATGTGCAACCAAAAATTTTAGATAAATAAATTAAGGAAAATCTATGTGCTAAAATACTACTGAGCTACTAAAGATTATTTAATGATATGAGGAAAATTGAATAATATATTAAGTGAATAAGGCAAAATAGCAAAATACAAAACTGTATACCAATGAATATAACAGATGCTGAAAGTTATATGAGGTCAGAGGCTCATGGCTGGTCCTACAATGATTAGTGCTCAGCAAAAATAAATAAATAAATAAATAAAAGTTCTCACTAATGATTTGTTAAATAAATGAAGAACAAATATATACTCATAGTAAAAAGACGTAACTAAAATGTTGAGTGTTAACTCTAGGTAATGGAATTATGGTAAGTTTAGCTTTTTTCTCTTTATAGTTAAAATAATGTCTGCTCTTATGTTCTACTCATTCTACTATTCATGGGCTTCTTTAAGTGTTCCATTAATCAGTATCCTCTAATAAAGAACTTATTTCCAGAGAATTACATTGTGAATCAGTAACTATTTCTCCGTGAAAAGGAAA